GGGGGCTTGGAATTACGAGCAGTGTTCTCATTCGAGAATCGGCTTTTGTGGCAGGGCAAGCATTAGTGTTCTCCAAGTCAGTGCAGGCATCAACAGGACTCACCATTGAACAATGCCTACCGCAACTTGCACAGCTACCAACAGGATTAGCTCTGATTGACTCCCTCAAGAAACTAAAAGAGATCATCACCAAAGACAAGCTCGAAAGAGCTGTTGGTCAGTCATGGACTAAACTTGTTACATCTGACGATTTAACTCCCACTCTTCGAGGAGTTTATCTCATGGAGGCCGGGAAGGTAGTAGCCGAGAGACAAAATGGAGACGACAACCCTGACGAGGAACCACCATCTCCGTCGACATGCGGGCGAAATGAATTTGGCCGGTACTATCAAGTCTTCGGAGCTCAAGCCGTCCTGTCGAAGCCCCTTCATGCAGCAGTCCGCCATATGGTAGTAACAGGCTTGAAAAAAGCAGGATCCCAGGAAACCTCAAAGAAGAGAGCCTTGATTCGCTTGGAGGAAGCAAAAGACAAGGGGGTTCTATCATGGCTGACAACGCAGGGGCTTTCGATGGATGAACGGATGCTACCTGACCTTTATCGAGAATCGATCGGTCGTGTACTGGGGAGTCACGACCGAACTGACTACGATACAGGCAGACTTTGCAGCGCAGGTGCATTGTCACCGTGTATGGAACGGTTGAGCCGACCCCATTCCCTGGTCTGCGCGAAGACCGGCGCCTCAACCTTCCTGCACAATAGGATGGTTCGCGTGCTGTTAAAGACATTACGCGAATGCCACATGCCAATCGCTGTTGAAGACTCTTCCCCATTTACTACAGGCACTGGTAGGGGAAGAGGGCTCTACAAGATGGATTTAGTGATCCCCCCAGGATTACACGCAGGAGATAAAGAAGAGGAACTCTGCACCAAATCCATCCTTATAGATGTCACAGTCGTCAATCCATCTGCTAGGCGAAGTATCGACAAGTCACTCCAAACGCCAGGATCCGCCCTCGAAGATCGAGCTGCAAGTAAGGCAAAACACTATGCGGGAACTTTCAACCCGTCTAGATCTACCCTCCTTACTGCTGCTTTTTCGACGTATGGTGGTCTTGGCAAAGGCACCAATCGACTTATCGTAGCTATCGCCAACCACTTGGCATACGAAGCCTTTTGCAAAGGGAATTTCGCCGACGAAACAGCCTTGATTCGCCTGAAGGCTTTTCATACGAATAGGATTCGGAGACGATTTACTTTCGAGCTGGCTCGTTTCCTGTCCGTACGAACTCGTGATGTTTTTAAACGTCATGGACTGCTCATGGATCAATTTCCACCCCGGCCAATAGGTTGGGATTTCGATAGTAGTACAAACGAAAACGATCATCATGATGGCGATGAGGGAAATTCGAGTGGCAACGATGAAGGAGGAGGAACAGAGGGAACAAGAGGAGGACAAGACAGAGACCAAGACAGCAGTCGAGAAGGGAATCATGGCGTGGAAGAGAGCAAGAGCTTCGAGCCAGAGGACCTCCCGCACAACAAAAGACGGAGAGACAGACAAGAAGAAGAGCTGCCAAAAAGTTGCTGCCAAAATGACGATGAGAATAGTGATGGTAGTAGTGGTGAAAGCAAGAAGAATGATAGAGAGAGCACTCCTAAACGAAGTCGAGTGCAGGGTGATAGTCTTAGTAGACACGTGCAGTTTTCTTCTGTTATTACTACGGTATCTGTCTTTAATCCTGAGAATGGCGTAGCTCCCCCTACGACGCTCGGTCCCGGGGTCCCAGATAGTGGACTATAGAAACATTTTGTGTTTCCCGCCGCACTGAGACTGACGTCTTTTCATTGGTCAGCCGGTTAGCGCGGTCGATGCTGAAAATAAAAAGCACACATGCACGCTCTCCATCTATCTATCACTCTCCATTCTAAAATGCCAATCAGACGTATAGAAACCCCAATCTACCATATCTCAGACACACAGATATCGACCGTCGTAAACTACGGCTAGCCATTTGCGCTGTGTCCAAACAACCCTCAAAGCTTTTTGCGTACGAGCATAGAAAATGGTAAGCTTGATTCACCTCAGCATGATACTACGCATCAAGTACGACACCGATGTTTGCGAATAACAAACACCCATACACGGCGATGTCATGCCGGACTACAGTAATGCCCATGCAATTCGTTCGTCCGCGCAAGAAATCAACTTCCCATGCAAAGCGTAGAATGCCCCAAGTCAACATTAACAGGCACGTGACGCGAAAAATGACAACGACACGCAAGTAGCGGACGACCACACTAGAAAGGCTAAGGTCGAAGATGCAGAGATTGCGGTGATCTGTAGAAGATTTGCACGCCACCCCAAAGCAAATACGTCAACCTCTTAAACGTACCCTTCTGTACCCATCGTGAACCCCTGCTGCATGCCGTTAAATGTGCGACTCAAAAAAAAACACCACATCGGCTCATGAGGCATATTCACTCTCCACTGGAACGCACAGTCCAGGTGCTCTTGGGGACCTTCAGTGAGAACCCCACCCCAACAATCACGGGCGATCGGGACACCTACACACGGCGCAATCTGGGCGAGGGTGACAATAGCGCGCGCAACAAGGTCTTGCGCGACATTCATCGCTCCTACCAGCGACGGCGTCCTCGCATCAGCAGCGATCGCGCGATTCCCGGCAACGCGCTTCGTCCAGCTCTTGGCGCCGAAGAAGTACTGCTGAAAACATACGCGATGCCGCCCCCACGATCTCCGCCATCCGCTGGTAACATGTGCGGAGACTGCCTGCAAAACTGCATCCGCTCGTAAGCCGTCTAAGGACCCCGCATGGTAGCGAGCTCGACCTTGCCATTTCAGTCTCTGATCGTGGACTTCGCACGCTATGCTCCAAGGAAGGGTAGTCCTAGTCGTCGAGAGCCCTCGTGCGCATGTAGGCATGTCCAATCGTGTCTCTGGTGCGCGCCAAAAACGCGGGCGTGAACGATCAGTTTATTTAAAAGAATGCTCTCTTTTTTTTCGACCACGATTTTTAGGATGATCACGCCTCAACTCTTGCACAAGACGGCCAACACGGGAGTGACTGTTCTCCGACGGCACCTCCTTGGATCGGGGAGCAGTTTTTTGTGTTTAAGGCCCAGAAAAAAAAACTAGAAATCACCAGGAGCAGATTTTTTAGTTCAAGGGAGAAAAACCGAGCATGGGCGAAAAGTCGTCCAAATATCATATATTTGCGGGAGCCAAAGTGCGGAGAGAAAATTTGATCTGTGTGTCCTTGAGTATGTTCTACAGACTGGTGTCATGCGATATGAAGAGTCACCTCTCCACCTGGAGCCAGGAATACGTACTCCCAGTTTCTTGCCTTATTGAAGTCGATTCCTAATCGGCCACCGAGGTTGTGAAAAAAAAAATGGTGGTCGGTCCGCTGTTTGTTTTTGCTCGTTTACGGCGTAATCTTGAGGTCAAACAGTCGTGAAGTGTTTTTCGTGACAGTACGATGAGTAGACATCGCTCTGGCAGCAAGATCGCTATTTGTTGACACTGGAGTAAGCAGTGGAACAGTCTGAACCAACACAAGATAGAGTACAATGTGGATATGAAACTGCTGTGTGGTATTTGTGGATTCAGCAGGAATTATATTTCACGAACTATTGTAGGTTTCTTCGGTTCCTCAAAGGATTCAATCATCCATCAGGACCCCTTTGGTTCTTTGCCAGAGAAAGCACTCCCATAGTCAAACCTGCTCCAACACCAAAAACGATTCAAAGCAGGATTTCACTCGAAACAAATTAAACTTCATGTTTCAATACAGAATGCTGTTGTCTGTTTATGGTGTATACGCTGCACGCTATGCGGCTATCATACTCTCAACGTACTCTACATGTTGAAAAACATTGTTGTTGTTCACAGCAGTTACCAGACAAATGGGGTTGCCGCGCTCGCTGCTGTTGGATATTGGTGAAGTGGTTCATGGGTGTTTTCTTCGTGATGGTCAACAATAGACTCGTTCAACTATGCATAGGGATTCGCAAACAATGGCATCTCTGCGATGTGTAGACATCGGGCTCTGCGATGGGCTGCGACATCGTACTTGGAGATGTTGAGGGTACCCCTTGTTGTCCGTTGACTCCACGACACAGTGGACTGAGGGGCCTGACCTCTCGCTTCACACCCGTAGGAGGCCGCCGGATCAACTGGCCTATGGATGTAATATTGATTGAAACTTTTCTCTGTTAATTGGCCATAGCCTTACACACGCTATAAGACGCCACATACAATAAAACACCCCCTTTATGACCCCCGGGATGTGGAAAGACAATGAGATAGTTTGCAGAACAGTGGCCTTGGCATACTCTTGCATTTGATTTCACTGACGACACAAGAATGTCTGCAACCGTAATATCCAAACAGAAACTCGGCGGCATACCGTCAAACTGGATAATGATACTCATAGTTATGCTGTACATGTGTGTTCGGGAGCTCGGAAAAGCACACCCACTGCTACTAGAAAGATCAAGCAACACGCATTCCAGGCACTCGTTGAATTAGCAAACACAAGTTCGCTGTAGCAACTTGATTTTGTCAATACACGCTTAACTTACCTCCCTAGAAGCGAGAATTGGTAATCGAAAGTGTTGGGGTGTTTGCTGCGCAAGACCGACTCTATTCTGCTCCATGTGTTTGATACGGTATTCTGAAGGCGTTCTGTTTTACTGTGACCGTCAGGTGCAGACAGTCCAGGCGTCTGTGTGTGGATAATAAATCACTCTTTTTGTTTTCTCTACCAAGCCTCTACCACATACGCCAACCAGCGTACTACAGCTGTGGTACCGCCCAACAGGTTTTGAGCCACGTATAGCGAGGTAGGGAATCATCTCGAGTCAAATGGCTTCATCAGCGCAACAACAGTCGTCAAATCATCTGCAGCGCGGATATGTCGCGTTCAGCGGAGAACCCGGCCAGTTTGTCGGTTGGGTCTCGCTTTTCCGTGCGCTGATGTACGAGGCAGACCTAGGTCGGGTCATGTCTGGAGCGGAGAAGGCTCCCACGGTGGCGGAGGATGCCGACGCCGCAGCGACCGCGACGTACGAGAGGAAGCTACAAAAGTTCCAAGAAAAGAATGGCAAACTCTACACGCGGCTTCTGCTGGCTACGTCGGACTGCCCGGAAGGATACTCGAGCCCGGCTTCGCAGGTAGTGCAGTCGTTTGGGCCTGTCGGGGACGAGGAGTTCGGTGACGGTCGAAGTGCTTTTGTAGCGCTCGAGCAAAAGTACCGTGTCGATGGGACTTTCAGAATGCAGCAGCTACACGATGAGTTGGCCGCCGTCGCGGTCACCGCTGCTGACAAGTACGATCCGGCTCGCGCAATCCAACAATTGCGCCGCATCTTTCACGAACTCGGCAAACTCGGAGACACAGTCGTGAAACAACGGCAAGCACATGCCATCCTAAAGGCCCTGCCCGACAACCAATACGGCTCGTTCAAGACTGTACTGTTGGTAGAGTCGCCCACTGTTGGTAGCGGTGCGCTAGGCTTCGACGATATCGCACGTCGTGCCACACTCTACCACGCAATGCANACATGCCATCCCAAAGGCCCTGCCCGACAAGCAATACGGCTCATTCAAGACTGTACTGTTGGTAGAGTCGCTCACTGTTGGTAGCGGTGCGCTAGGCTTCGACGATATCGCACGTCGTGCCACACTCTACCACGTAATGCAAATTCGCGGAAAAGTGCTCCACCAAGACGATGGGTCGGGCAGCCACGGCCGTGCGTTGAACACTATCACGCACGGAGGGGCACGTGGCTTCCGCAAGCACGGCGGCCGTGGTGGTCGTGGTGGTCGCCGAGGAAATGGTGGCAGAACCACAAATGGTTCGACGAACGGCTCGTCGAACCGTGAATTACAGCAGCGGCGGCGGATCGGCCGGCAACGCTGGAGGCGGCAGCGCGGGAAATGCGCAAGGTGCTCGCGGGAATTATCGCGGCAACAACGCCTCCGGTGGCCGAGGTAAGGGCCAGGACACCGGTCGGAACCGAAAAGGGCGCTGCCGCTACTGTCATAATTCGACAGAGCACGGGTGGCACAACTGCCCGCTCCGCCTGAGGCACGAGGCGGAGGAAGCCACTGAACAGGCTGATACTCACCACACTCAAGACTCCACCACTCAGGCATGGTTCACGCGGGTGGAGACTGAAGGCGATGTGCTGGAGGACTACGCCATCTCTTTCGGAAAAGACGTGCAGGTGCANAGATGCACCTGCTGCGGCGCAGCCAGAGGAGCGCGCTGCTGGTGACACGCTGGTGCAAGACGCGCCGGTGCCGACGCTGCAGGATGCACGCGTTGTGTATGACCCGCAGGTACTGGACACACCTGCTGCAGCGGTGGTCTATGACCCTGCTGCCAACGGATATTCTCAGACGGAGGAGGCGCCTGAGGACACCGAGCTCGTTGCGTTCAGCAGCGTGTTTCAGGTGGACAAAGAGAAACCGCAGGTCGTTGATGATTCCGCCTGCTACATTGATTCCGCCGCGTCCAGCCACATGGTGGATGAGCAGTCTCGCTTGTCCCATCACGTCCTCAATCCGGTAGATTGCGCTGTGCGCATTATCGGGTCGTGTGGCACATCCGACGCAACCAAGAAAGGTACCCTNTCAGGTGACTGCGGTGTTTGTGCAGTTGGTGACAGTAAGAAGGGCAGCCACCCCCCGTCTAACCGTCCCCTCTTGGAGACTCGGCTGGAAATTCTAATTGCCGATACGTGCGGGAAACATCCTATTGCTACATACGGGGGTGGCCAGAGTGCCGTGATGTTTACTGATGACGCTACTCGCATGAGGTTCGGCTACCTACTCAAGACGAAAGACGAAACGGCCGAAGCTCTTCAAACTCTGGTTCGGGACGAGGCCGACCCGCTTGGTCAGAGCATCGGCACGGTGCACTGCGACGGGGGAGCGGAGTATTTGGGCAAGTTTCTGGCGCTATGTAAGTCGCTCGGAATCAAGCTCACGAATAGCCCTCCCCTATGTCCCGCAATGGAACCCCATCGCCGAGCGTGGATTTGGTACCATCATCGGCACTGCCCGCAAGCTTCTCTTGGGAGCACCGCACCTTCCTCAACAGCTGTGGGGGGAGGCTTTCATGACTGCAATCTACCTCAAGAATCGGACCCCGACCGAAGTCCTGGGCGGCAAGGCACCACTCGAGGTATGGGAGGGGAAGCCGCTCGGAAAGATGCTTCACATCCACGAGTGGGGGTCGCTGGCTTTTAAGCACGAAGAGTTACGCGCCCGGTCGAACAAGTTGGCGGCCAGGGCCAAGAAAATGTACCTAGTAGGCTACAACTCCAAGGGTAGTTATCGATAACTCAGGCTGACCGACCAGGGTCAGTCAGTCTAAGTCAACAAAAATTCTCGTGACGGCAGCGTGCATTTCACTGTTAAATGCGGGCATTCTACGCTTTGTATGGGAGGTAGAATACATGCACTGACTAAAGAAATGAACTGGCATTTGCCCCGGATGATATTGCTATGTATAGATGTTTATCATTCACGAACAGCGCTGTCGTTTCTCTTGAGTATAACAAAGTGCCTCCATCTGTGATCAAGCTGATTATTGTCTACTTCCGATAGTAATAGGCCTTGGGGTCATTGTGGATGCAGCACACCTGGGTAGCAGTAGTTCACGGTGGGATAGATGGTAGATTAGGATTTCTATCCGTCTGGTTGGAATATTGGCAGGAGAGAGATAGATGGAGAACGAGAGACTCGTGTGAATTAAAACACTCTGTTTACCATCACCAAGGAGGGGAATCGACCAGCCACCCGAGGCAACTGAGGGAGGATTCTGGTCCATAAGCGAGGGATCAGTAGCAGACCAGGCACACGCTTGGCTCTGCTGGGGGCTTGGATCGTACATTGTGGAAATGATGACGGGACCCCCTTGTTGTCGCATTGGACGGGGTACTCTACTCCCAAACACAATGTACTTCCTTCTACCCTTTCTGTGGGGGCTTGCCGGCTCGGCCACCTCCCCTCACACCGTGGGGCGGCCGCACCTTTGGGGCATCAGCTGAGGGCCTATGTCTCTCCAGTCCATAGCGCATAGGCTCTACTACTCATACATAGCGAACATTCCCCTCCCGATAGAGCGGTCGGCGGGCAAGCAGTGGTAGAGATGCAGGGGCGGTACAGCAGAGGAGTCATGATTGAAGATGTCATGTGTATTCAGTATTCATTAGTGACTCTTCCCATCTACGGGTCTTGACGCCCTCAGATTGGTCGAGCATTGCTTCAGGCGGTTGAGTCCTCTCCAGCCCGTTCTCTCTATTCCGCATTCCGACAACGCGACGCCGCCGTATTCTTGCCCAGTTCGCAGCTGCTAGACCGTGCGTTGGCCGTGGGTGAGGCTTAGGGTTAGGATTGAGGTTTGTTCGGATCATCTATAAGATCTCGGGAACCTGTTTTCTATGTGGTGGCGTCGTTGTTATGATGTGGGACGGTGCGCAACGACAACAGTTTTGAACCCAAAGACAGACGGACAAACGTAATCCGATGTACGGAGAGCACAAACGATATGAAGATTTGCAGGCATCCAAAGTATGCGTTGCCACACGTATCTGCGGGTGCACGGATCAAAATGGTGATGATTGTTCATCAGAAAAAAGAGTCCTCAACGCATTTGGACGTCGGTCGCACAACGCATATTACTGCTACTGTGATGCCACTCCAAAATAACAGTACCACGGAGATAACCGCGGATCCGACTTCAAAGCAAAGGAGTCCGCTCGAGTGTTTGTTGGTGCACCGAGAGAAAAGTAGAGAATCGATATAAAGCCGTTCAAATTTCGTCAACAACAAGGAACGAAATATGTGCGTGCACGCATAGACTTACACCAGCAACACAATTGTAACCGTATAAACCCGACGGAATGATAAGTCTCCGCGGGGCAGGTGGCAGAGGTGTGCCCCGAAGCTCTCGTTAAAAGGTCAATCCCGGCCTCGAAAAAGGCGATCCTGTTATTGCAGAGAATATGTGGGAAACTATAGTACAATGGAAACATATGTTGGACAAGAAAGAGAGTAATCAACATGCATGCGCCACAGAAAATAATAACCGTCGAAATGCGGAGGAATGTACGTCCGCGGGGAAGGTGGCAGCGGTGTACCCCGAACCCCTCGTTGGTTGGCTGCCTAAATGATAAGTAGCCACACAGTTATTCCAGCGTCGAACGGGTGCATCCTCTTGGGATTTGATTTTTTGCCCTAATTGATCGAGATCGGAGCAATTTGGTGCCAGGAGCCTCTGTGCGGCGTGCTCGTGTTTTATGGTGGACGGCCGATCACTAAAGCAGGCAAACGTGAACGCACGAGGCACCTCGGGGGGTTGAAACAGTTGTTTGTGGCGGGTCTTCCGACCGACATCCATTTATTCATTCATTCGTACATACTTTCTTGCGGGTCCGTGAGATCTCTAGACCGTAAGGATCTGGTCTGTCAGACGAATACACATTTTTAAGTCAAATTAGCTTGATACTGGACACAGCACGATTCATATAGATCGCCTGACGATCAATTGTTAGAGTAGCACAACACACAGAGACTGACTCAACACTTCGGACTCAACGGGTATATCCGAGTATTCCCATCATATGCGTGTGTGCCATCAAGAAAAGTAAATGATCACGATGAAAGACGTTCGCTCTTGCTCGCATTCTCCAAAACTTGTAGTGATAGACGGACGTCTTGGGGAGTCAAACACCTTCATGAGATGCTTGAAATACACAAAAAGTAGGTATCTCGACGGTGTTCGTGCCAAGCATAAACAAAAAATCAATCTTCATGACGTATGAAAAGTTCAGTGAGCCATCGTACCCGGACAAAAAAAATCCATCTTACCCGGACAATAAAAGTTCCACTATTGGCAACACGAGTCGCCACAGAGCTTTCCGTCATTCAAAAATCGATGGATACGTTGTATTATTTTTTTGACCAGTTATTAGTAACCATCAATTGAGCTACCTCTCATTGTCTGCTCGGGGAATCATTGACTACACAATTCTCGATGTCATCTCGCCACTTTGGAGGCATGATTTTAAACTCGTGCAACTAGTATTAACAACGTCTCGGTTCTGGTGTGTACTACAGGTAACTTAAGTACTTCCCGCCGCACCACACTCAACAACTCGGTCAGACAAGATCCACAAACTCATTTAGGTGCGCTTCAACGTAGAGGCCCTTCGCCGAATAGTTTTGGTTGACTGGATCATCATAATTACGTTTTTTCTCGTTCCAATCGACGGGTGACTTCAATACCCACGGCTTGCCTTCTCGGATCTTCGAAAGATTCACCTGAGGTGCGTTATGGGATCGATATTGTTAGTTGCGTCTTCGCTTTAATGACTACGCCGTGTCGAGGCGTCACATCTCACCGTTCTTCCATGTACTTCTGCTCTGAATATTTGAATATCATTGTGCGTGTGTTACACAAAAAGTGTTGACAGGCAACAACTCAATTTTTGGAGTAATGATGACTCGACTTCATCGGCGGTGGCATTGACTCAATGAATGAATCTCCGAACCTATTGTACGAGATTCAACACAAACCTTTGAGGGTGACACCCAGTTTCTCTTGTAATCGTGCGGGTCCAAACATTCTCTCTTGTAATCCAAGGCAAGATATTAACTTATATTTCTGCCCCACGTCACCGGCACTCCTTTCGAAACAATTGTCATTGGTTCGTCTGATGTCAATGGGGTGTACTGGAGGTGTGACCAAAATCCCGCCAAGCGCTCGAGCTACGTCTCCCACCTTTCCTCCGCTTTCACGCATCATGCTCGTGCATGTCTAGGCTAGGCTGTATAAGATGCGTTCTCGGTCTAACTGCTCTAGATCTGTGTTCCAAGGTATCCTTGTTGCTCGATGAAACGATATGTCCGACAATGATCAACGCATAATCCCAAGTTAGCAGCTGGTGTATGGACTCTTCGGGTATGGTTGCGTGCCACACCACCCTTCCTCTTTGACCCTCACTTGTGTTGAGGAGAACGAGCAACTCATGGGGATCGTAATCCATCACGGCGACCGCCAATTGAGCGGGATCTGATGTTTCCGGGTTGGCCATCTCGTCGGTCTCACGGTCGATCTTCGAAAAAAATATGTCTCGGCTTTGTCGATGCTGATCGACCTTGACATGATGTGGGCAAGGAATGGGCAACACAGATTTGATCACAGTCTGACCTTCGAACCGAACATAGTAAATTTTTCGAACTCTCGAGTCTGCATCGACATGTTGAAGAAATCTATGTAGAACACTGAATAATGTTTCACCGCACTCTACAAAACATTCCCTGCTCGCCAGCTGAACGACTGCCCTTTGTCTGGCACCGCTGACAGGCTGAATCAATATTTGGTCCGGGAGTGTTCGAATTTGGTCCCCGGCAAAAACGCGCTCCAAACTTTGTCGGATAAACATGCATCCGGAATCAACTTAATGATTGCTGCGGCCGTCGTTTATATCTTTTGCTGTCCTTTTCAGGCCTCGCTGGGTTAGCAGTGATTGCACGACGTCCTAACTGAGGAACAGACAGGAGAGGTACAGATGTCGGCATTTTATATGTATTTTGTCCCATCAATTTGTGGATCTAGGGTACCTGGAAAATCCAGTTCTTGGCGGGGTCCGCCGTCGGATATCTGCATGTTCATGGTAACGTAGGGATTTTAACTGTCTGGATAGAAAGAATGATGGCCAGGGAGAGAGAGAAAAGAAACCGCATATGAAACAATTATGCTCAACATTAAGGACGTAAACAATTCTTCTACCGGCCATCCACGGAAAGGGGATGTTTCTGGTCCTAGGCCCTGTAGAATTCAACGTGTCTACACGAGTCATTCTGGAACAGAGACCCACCTTCTGAATGTAAAAATGTTCCAGAGCCTCCGGATCCATGTCTGGGAAAGAGTCGATGGAGAAGCTGCAGAGACGTCGTCAAAACACGACAACATCGGCATCAAGGTGTCTTGGATTAGAAATATGGGGTGGAAAGACGAGGAATCCGTAACAATCATTTCTTCTTCACGCGCAGCAACAGCAAGTGCGGTTTTAGGGTTTGACTGACCCAATAGGTAGGAGTGAGGTGTGGCATGTAGTTTTCTAAAGGACAGGTAGCTTCCTCAAGATCCCCAGGAAACAATACCGGGAGTGCGCGGTCTTGCCTCATCCCAAATCTCCGGTGATGAAAGAGGTTTGATTCTCATTGGGTGCCGCTTTCAGTCACTGTTGAGGTTGCCCGCTTGCGCATCTCGGTGTCTGTCTTACCTCACTTATTAGTTGACCTCGAAGGGCTCGGTCAACAACAAGGGGATATCGTGTCAGCACTATTAGGGTAGGCCAGACAACTATCATTGAAACATATTTTAAATGATGTTTTTTCTCGTTCATCTTTCGTTTCGAGCGGATCATTCCCAGTTGAATCTATTGATGATGGGGCCTTGCCTTGTTCTCGGCATCGGTCATTTTGGTACACCATATCGTCGTGAGAGTGAAAATCATCGACCGAACAATACAGCAGTGTTTCCAACTGAACGGTAAGCAAGTGCACCACGACCAAATACAGCCAAGGTCCGTTCTGCCCCATGTCGGTCGCCCCGGTGGTCTAGTTGGTAACTTCGAAACCTTCTAGAGGTCAGGTCAGGGGTTCGAATCCCGGCGTAAGGGAGCTTTTTTCTTGCAAAGTGAGTTTTTCTGTCGCTTCCGCTCCTGGCCTAGTGGATAGCGCTAGGTCGTGTGTAGGCAGAGGGAAGAGAGTGCTGAGCTCTTCTTGCATTAAAAATCGAAGGCAAAGTACCGCAGGAGGGGAGGGTAGAGAGGGGCTCTTCTGTGTGACCACGGGTTGGAGTAAAACGGCACTAGTGCCGTGAGCGCTGATTTGAAGTGAAGACCAAAAAAAAAAAAAAACTGGAACGATGAACGTTGCAGGATGACACTTTCCTCTTGTTGCACCAATAGAATCATACAAGATGGATGGCACATCGCCACTCGCAATCGTGGGCGAACATCTATCCTAGCACACAAACGTGTACCATGCCCCACGTTCTGTGCGCTTCAAACGCCTAGCACGGCCGGAATATTCATAACACATGCTTGGGCTTCCTTCCTGAGCTTGGAGAGGTTAGCCGCCGAAAGCTCTGCTTAATGCGGATTGCGAGAATGCCCGCTTGGTCGGGATTTGATTTCACGTCCTAGACTAGACGCTACAAGGTTTCGAGGGTACCAAGGTTACCAACGGAAATCCAAGGCTTCGGAAATAGCGTGTGCCAGTGGGCGAACAGTGGGCGAATGTCGTTGCGTACATCTAAAAGCACCTTCACAAACACACGAGTTGCATGTGATGTCAGATTGAACAGATATTCACGCACGTGGTGGTAGCTTGGTAACCTTTGGCATGTCAAGAGCTTATGCTGAAAACAGTCTCGGGACATCAGATGTCTATGAAATTGAGTTGACAGGACCGTGGGGTGATAGTAGTTCATGATGGGTTCGGTAGTGTTGTGCTATTTTTGTATTGAAACGGAAAGCGGGTCAGCTTTCGTGATTAAAACAGAGTCGAGAGCGTTGCCGGGAAGGTGTTTGATCTCGGCACGCCGCTCTCTTGGCACGCTCGTTTACTAGTCCCGCTTGTGTTTCGAGGGATGGAAACTTCATGTTGCCAGGGGTCGTCCTAGGATTTCCACTTGACCTGTCATGGATTTTTGAATGCGTTTGTCGATTCGGATAAATGTATCAGCGTGTGAATCAAATCCGCTCACGTATGTTTCTTCAAAACATGGAGAAAAGGAACATTCGTTCTGTAGAAACAACGAATAGAAGACAAAATGCCGACTTGCAAAGATCAAGCAGTCTCTGAACAACAAGTTGTTTGTGTCCCATACATATTTTATAATCTGCCGTACTATTGTTCAAAATCGCTGGAATGCGCGTGATTTATCACCGTCCTCGCCCCCCACATCAAATAAAAACAAAAAACGGGGACAACAGAGGTTCTTCCTCCAGAGGGTTAGTTTTCTTTGGCACCGTCGGGAACGTTTCCACCTCCATCAACATACCTGAGAGAAAGGCGCTTTCAATGACTAAACCTGGCGTTCGCCTGTACCAACCTTTGTGACATCAGTCGTTTTTGCTGAGGTAGTGAAACGTGTGCTACAACAGTTCACGGCGTGATCACCACCTTTTCGACAGGAGCATGGAAACTCCAAGGCAACAGCTTCACAATCTCGTTTCAGCTTCGCCAATCTATCGAGGTTGCTGTTTTCAGACGAAAAAAAATCCAGGGTCCCGGTACAACCTGCGGTGGCACCATACCTCGATGTGACACTCTGCGAAAACGGCATACGAGCCAACACCAGCTCTACCGAACCTGTCAGGTCTCAGCAGGTCCGCAAGCCACATGTTTCGGAAAATAACGTTGAAGGTCGATCGCTTCCCTGTGTGCTGAATAGGTTCCAGCCAGGTCAACAACGCAGTGCCAAACGTCAATCAGCCGCTTTGCCATGATGCCTCCGGCTCATTCCGTCAGAAAGCCTTTAGAGTTAAGAAAAAAATCGTCCACAGCAGTTACGCCGAGTTTCGAGTACAACCTACGATTGACTAACCTGACATGACCGTCTTCCTTGTGCTCCATGACAACCACTTCAAACCGTTCTTCCTGCCGCCCGCTCGAGAAGTAAGGACTGGCCAAGTCCAGAGTAAGCAGAGTGTTATAGTGGAACACCCCGTCCTGCGATGCGAGTAAATATTCAGAGATTGTGTCGGAATGTTGGGAAGAACAATATAGGGTTGGTTCGAAGGGAGATCGCATAGGCTGCCTTGAACCGCTGCTAAGCAATGTTGAAATAAGTCAATGTTGGTTTCTGTCGATATAAGCAATTTGTCGAAGTGCTATAACCGACGCGAATTTATCTCTACATCTCTCAACATGCGACAGAACCTTTCGTGGGTCCGTTGTCCACAAACTACATCGTAGCCCGTCTGGATCGTTCTGCTTTTGTTTGCCTAGACAGGCAGATTGTGAAACAATGCGTGCATTTCTCTATCGCCGTGTCTTTTAGTCACGTTTCGTGTCATGCTCCTCATCTCGGAGTAGCAATGTTATTTCTCTCGTGTACCTCCGGGCATCTTTCTGGGGGCCGCGTTCGAACCCGCCTCGGACTTTCTTTCTCGCAACAAAACGATTGCGGAACTGAGGCACAACTTCCCCGGCATACCTTCGACGTGTTTGTCGAGTCTCTCCCTCCCAATCTACCTTAATCGTCAGAACTACTAGTCTTCTCCCCGCTCTTGGAACAGCAGTGTTCACCCGTCCGACACGCGCATGTAGCCAAAGCATGGCTCGGACACTAACGTCGTGCCGACCCTCACGCCCGGTGTGTTTTCGTTGCGTGCTTGTGTTACCATCTACCGATCGATCCGCTGAGCTTGCATGTGTCTCTTGGTGATAGACCACGTCTCTACGACGTCTCATAAGGAGACTAGCAATCGAGAACTCTATCCGCAGCAGTGCATGGCTGTGCTTTTCAGCAATTCTCTCTGCCTCCTCTCCTAATTAGTTTTGCTGCTGGAAGTCCGTTTCGAGAGAGAGTGAGAGCCAGCGATGTGCTCTTCCCCACTCCACAATGGCCTCGAGCACCAATTGCATCACTCACTCTCTTGACGTGGTTGCTGAGGAGATGAAAATTACTCTTACAACCAGGTCAGCGACACGAAAACGACTCTATTTTGGGTCTTTCAACAAAACTCAAGTTTTGGTCATTCAAAGTTGAAGCTTCTCATCACCCGGTGGCGATGCTTCATGTCCTGTCCGCGATGTGACCCTTCACCAACGTGATGCGGTGGATTCGACTTATCGCCGCGGTGGTTTGCCCTGCCGGGATTCAGACGCTAGCATGTTCCGTGGCACTGAGTGCTCGGGAAAGTACCGCCTGTACCAGGAAACGATGGCACGTAAGTAGATCCCGCCATCTTTCCTGCCTCTGCCCCCCCCGTCCTCTGATTTTGCAAGAGAGTTGGTGTCGGGTGTCAACTGCACCAAGAATGTGTTTGTTTCATAACCAAGATGTGTTTACACCATTGACTAGGTACGTCGATGAGGCTGGAACTGACTTTTGTGTGGAGAAAAAACAAACG